AAATGAAGTGAGCATATTCTACTGTGCTCTTTTGGACTCCAACCTTTCCTGCTTAGCCAGGTAGTGAGCCTTCTTTCACTAAGACACTTTGTCTGCTCTCCCTGATGATGAATTACTTTAGGAATTCTAAAGAATCTTGTAGAAGATGAGCTAGATGACAGGCTAGACCTGCTTTCACAGTTTATAATACAACAAGAGTGTCCAGGCATTAGTCTCGCGTAGCCAGCCCCTCCCTCAACGGGAGGGTCTGGTCGAATGAGTGTCGAATCCTCGTGGTACATCAAATGCTCTTACTCAAGCTAAAAATTCTGGCACTAACGCAAAGAAAAGAAGCAGAAGAGAAGCTGTTTAGCCAACCAGACAAAAATTGTAGCCTGCTCTCTCCAACAGCCTCGCCAACAACAGATAGCAGATCATAGCAGATATTTAACCACGTGTTGCATAAAGTATGCGGTGGTGAACAAACATATACGGACTTATTTAATTAATCACGGAGAACGAATGATGTACACTCATTCGACCAGACCCTCCCGTTGAGGGAGGGTCTGGTCTACTCAGGCTAGGCATTGCAACCACGTACACCCACATGCTAATTATTGCGCTCTCAGACACCCAACATGGCGGATAGCAACGGTTGTCAAGGAAGTGCATTAATTAATTGACTCGCGCAGAACCTCTATTGCATCAAAAATCTAGCACTTCAAGTGTAGCCCCTCAGTAGATTGCATTGTTGTTATTTTCTGAATGTGAGGGATGTTATTCATACTATCCAAGTATTCTTGGATTACTTCTTTATTCGACACCAGCTTCACTGGTCCAGATATCAGTTCTTTCCGTCCTTCTGGCAACTTGTGCTCAAAAAGAACTTTCATTTGATTGTTAACTAGCCACACACAATGAATTCTAGAAGTTGCTGCACTGAGTCTCTACAGTAATTGATGAAGACTATTTTAATACTTGTTGTGAAACCTGCTGTACATTGTAATTAAGGTTTTTTCTTGCATGTCTATGAATTAGTGTGTTTTACATATCGGTACTAAATTATGATGAACTAGTCTTTCTCAGTACACTTGCAACCATGCAGGTCACTCTCTATACTTGCAATCATGCAGGACACTCTCAGCAGATCCAACTTAGCAGTGTTTCTTCTCTCTTGAGCCTTCCAAATACCACTACTGACAGTTTATAGCAAAGAAAAGTTACAAAACAGAGTTCACTGTTTCTATCGGCCATATTGAATCTATTGCAACAGACACGCCCAAGAAAATTACATTATTTATTCAACGACTTTCCATTATCCAACACGGCTTCCCAATTCTCACTTCACTTCCTGGAACAAGTATATGTTCGTCAGTCCACCAGACTCTCCCCCCGCCGTCCAAAAGTCAAAAAGGGGTGGAGAGTCTGGCCACGCGAGACTATGATCTATCATCCTTGATATAATCAATATTGGTTCAGCCAAAGCAACATGCAGATACATGCTGATGTAGATCTAATCACTTATGCAGGCTTGATTTCGGGGAAGTGTATTGTATCCTAACTCTTGACTGTGTAGCTATAAATTGAGTAGCCTGCCACAAGCAAATTGTAATGAAGGCAGGCTCCACCTGACTAGGCAGAGGCCTCCTATTACCTTCCCACTCAGTCATACACCCACCCAAATGAATGTAGGCTTGGCTAGCAACACCACCCAATATTCATGATGCATAAAGTTTATGGAGTTGGCATCAGTGCAAGCCTTTAAAAATCCACAAATCTCACAAATAATAATTTTGTTTTTTTTTCCAATAATGATGTCATTATTATTGTTCTATACATAAATGATGATATCACAATGATGTCACATATTCTTCTCAATGTATTCCCTGATGTGTTGAAGGAGCTCTTTCTTTACATAATCTGGTACCAATTCTGTATAACAATAATTCATAATTAATAAATAAATTAATCAAATAATATCGGCTTACCTCTAGCTTTAGGAGTCATTTCTTCTACTAGACTATCAACAGTGACATTATTTAACCCTCTCTTATCAATAATAACTAGCAACAAAATATTAGTACATGCTTTTTCCCAAAACTATTCTACAATATCAGAGATAAATTAAATCCTTCATTATTATTAATATTATCACTACTCATCATTCACATAATATACATGTACATGTAATACCTTTCCCGTGTTCTCTCAGTTTGTCTCTCCATCCTGACTCTCTTAACCTCATCCTTAACAACTCTTTTAACCTAAAAACAACAACAACAACAAAAAGGTATATATAAATAAAGTGTTTGATTTATTACAAACCTTTCCTTCTCTCCAGTCTCCTCAAACTTTTGATTTATTTGATTTTTCTTCTGTAACTCTCTCTTCTTCTTCTCATTCTGATAACTAACAAGCAACAAACACAATTAATCATTAATTTATTTTTTACTCACTCAGAAGACATTTTAAAGGCGTGGCTAGTTAATATTGAGCCACGCCTACTCATTACCAGCCACGCCCTATTATTGTTTCTCCTCCTTCAGACTCCTTGTTGTAGCATGGCGATGCTAAGAACCTCTTTGCGGAGTTTTCTCTCCTTCCCAACTCGAGCGGCTGCAGTCAGAGCTAGGTAATACTAGCTAGTACCTGTGCCTGTATCAGTTTCTATTGCGCGTGTACTAGTATATGAATAACAGCGCTCAATACTGCAAGCAATAGTTCAAAAAGTGCTTAAGTATTTCATATATTTTTTATATTCTTTATTGCATATAGTATTATTATTAATTTATTTATGTACTATGCATGGATGTACATTTGGGGTATGGCTAGTTATTAATTAATAGTTAATTACCTGTTTTTTACTCTTGCATTTTTCAGTTCTTGGTGGTCTGGAGTTGAGGTGGGCCCTCCTGATCCAATATTCGGCCTCCTGGAGGCGTACAATAAAGATGAGAGGACGAACAAAGTTAATTTGACTGTGGGGGCGTACAGGGATGACCAGGGGAAGCCATATGTACTGAATGTAGTCAAACAAGTTAGTGGCAGCATTGACACATGTACATACACACACACTGTGTTAGCTAGGACAATTGGATTATTATTATGTATTGGAAAACTTTTTTAAAAATGGCCGTAACTTTAAAAATTGAAGTCATAATTAGCTCAAACTTTCTACACAGCATAAGGGCATCAATATGCATCAGAAAATGTAGTGAAAATTTGAGGTGATTTTGGAGCCATTTTTTGAAAAAAAGCATGGGCTATAGCCTTGGATACTTTTCAGATTTTAGTCAATTTCTTAAAATGGCTGTGACTTGAAAATTTGAGCTCGGAATTGGCTCAAACTTTCTACACAGCATAAGAACATCAATATGTATCAGAAAATACATTTTCATATTTTATTATTAATTTTTATAGATTGAGAGGGACAATTTAGATAAATACAAAGAGAAGGAGTATGCTGGTATCCTGGGGTATCCTTCCTTCCACAGAGCTGCCATTGAATTTGCACTGACACCTCAAGAAAAACACGTCAAAGAGAATCTGGTAAATACATGTATAACTACATGTTTTATATGATGCATAAATGCACTTTTTGCCAATAATCAACCGTAAATACACTGTCAATGTATCAAGTCAAAAAATACCCTAGCTCCTGATTATGAACCTGTCCTTATTTCAGAGGTTCATTAATACACATTACTATTGTATTGGGACTGATACTACCCCTCCTCATTATAGAGGTGTCCTTATTTTAGAGTATCCACAATAGGAGGAGGTTATACTTTACATGTATAGCTGCTCTATTATTGTATAACTTTATAATTAATTATTATATAACCAGACAGGAAGTATGGCTTGCAACCCACAATGCTATTGTAAGGTTTATTAACTATTTAATGCTTGAACTGCTGAAGGAAGTTCAAGTGATACATGTTATAGAAGATAATCTATTTCAATTTTTGGAGGGACATTACAGTCCCAAGGCCTCTATTATTAAAATAGACAGAATGTTTAATGATTAGCATAGCTATTCCTGAGGAAAAGGGTCTCAGTCTTAGCTTCACCCCCTTCAGTTATTCTCTCCAACCTGTTGTCATAAAAAGCTACCGTATTTTGGCGAATTGCTAAATTTTGGTAATTGGCGGATTTTAATTTTGGCGAATTTGTGGCCATGTACCATTGAGCATGCGTATAATCGCTCAAAATGGCGGATTTTTATTTTGGCAAATGGCTATCAAAATGTCAAATTCACCAAATTTAATCCCCTCCAAAATTACCCACTATACGGTAACTTGTATCAGTAAACTACACATATAGTCAGTCAATACCATCACCATCATAGTAATAAATAATCTCAGTTGCAAAATAAAAAAATATAATAAATGAAAAAATGTATAGTGGTTTTATTTTGTTGGTATAAAATTTTGCGAATTTGTTCAGATTTGCCATCTGTTGGTATAAATTTTTGCAAATCTTACCCCCTGGAGCCATTTTTTCTAGCATGCCAACCTTTTTTGTGGAATTTGATTTTGTAAATTTAATAAAAACGAGAAATTAGCAAAATTTGTTTCCAGTGAAACGTAACCCCTATACGGTATATATTATACATGTATGTATCATTATATTCTCTTTTTCCTTCTCTTTAGTATGTGTCAGCTCAAGCCATTGGTGGTACTGGAGCATTGAGGATCATTGCTTTATTCCTTGTAAGCTGAATATTAACATGTAATAATAATACAGTTATTTATTTATTTATTTATTTTATTATTAGGCAAAGTTCTTTCCCCATCAGAAGACTATATATGTACCAGCACCTACCTGGGGTAATCATGCACCAGTGTTCAGGTTAATAACTATTAATAACTACTAATTACCTTTAATACCTATTAATATAATTGTTAATGTAATGGTTTAAAAAGTAAGTTTTAATTATTTTAGTAAATGGGCATCAAAATGCCAAAATTCACAAATTTTGTACACATGTATATAACTATTAATAACTGCTAGTAACTACTAATAACTACTAATAACTTTTAATAGCTATTAACATAACTGTTAATAATTCTGTATGTGTACATCCTTATATGTGTGGCTTCCTCCCTCTCTCCCTCCATTAGGAGTTCTGGTTTGAATGTTGAGACTTATCGTCATTTCAAGCCTGAGACCTGTGGGTTTGACTCTGAAGCTTGCTATGAAGACCTGAGGGTAGACCAATACACCATCACATGACAGTCACATGACCTCATGAATATCATTAATTATTATTATTTTTATTGTTTAGAAAATACCTGATAACTCTCTTATCTTGTTTCATGCTTGCGGTCACAATCCAACTGGGATTGATCCTACGGTGAGTTATGATTATTAATGTTATCATTAGTATTATTATTATTATTATTATTGTTATTTTTATTATTTATTTTTGTTGTTGTCTTCTGTAGTTAGATGAATGGTCCCAGTTATCAAAGATATGTAAGGTGAGAATAAGAGATGAGAGAGAGAGAGAGAGCATAAGTTGTAAAGAAACAGAGAGAGATTGCTTTTTAAGTTAGAGGAGACTACAATGTACATGTACATGTAATAAAATGTGTACTGAGATTTTAGTTAGCTTTTATTTTTGTGGATTTAATAGTTTTTAAATGATGCACAAAATCAAAAATTATTTGTATGGTTGACATATCTTTATTTTGATAAATTCACAAAATTTCAAGTCCACCCACTCATTGATTAATTCCTGATCTCTCAACAGGAGAAGAACCATTACGTATTCATGGATATGGCCTATCAAGGATTCTCTACTGGTGATCTTGATAGAGATGCATCAGCTCTTAGGCTGTTTGTACGTGATGGACACCAACTGTCATACGCTCAATCATTCTCTAAGAACATGGGACTATACGGTATAGTGTATACACACACACACACACACACTGAATATAATGAATATACAGTTATGATAGTGTTTTGTATGTTGAATGGATGTACATACATATTGATGTCCTTATGCTGTGTAGAAAGTTTGAGCCAATTCCGAGCTCAAATTTTAAAGTTATGGCCATTTTAAGAAATAGGTCAATTTTTGAAAAATACCCAAGGCTATAGCCCATGGTTTTTCCAAAAAATGGCTCTGAAATCACCCCAAATTTTTATTACATTTTCTGATATATATTGATGTCTTTATGCTGTGTAGAAAGTTTGAGCCAATTCCGAGCTCAAATTTTCAAGTTACGGCCATTTTAAGAAATCGGCCAAAATCTGGAAAATACCCAAGGCTATAGCCCATGGTTTTTCCAAAAAATGGCTCCGAAATTACCCCAAATTTTTATTACATTTCCTGATACATATTGATGTACTTATGCTGTGTAGAAAGTTTGAGCTGATTCCGACTTCAAATTTTAAAGTTACAGGCATTTTAAGAAATCGGCTAAAATCTGAAAAATACCCAAGGCTATAGCCCATGGTTTTTTTTTAAATAGCTCCGAAATCACCCCAAATTTTTATTACATTTTCAAATACATATTGATGTCTTTATGCTATATAGAAAGTTTGAGCTAATTCCGACTTAAACTTTTCAAGTTACGACCATTTTTATGAACATTGAACATGTACCTAACTACATGCACCTATCCTTGATTCATACACAATACATACAAGTACATGTATACACATACAGTAATACTCCATACATTCCTTTACAGGTGAGAGAGTTGGTGCTGTTACTATATTGTGTGATACACCAGAAGAGAAGGCAGCACTTGAGTCACAGCTAAAGATTATAGTCCGTCCAATGTACTCCAACCCACCAATCAATGGGGCTAGGATTGCTACTGAGATACTCACCAATGAGAATTACAGATCACAATGGTAATGTGTATTGATTATTATTGATATTAGGTTAATGAATGTAGCTAAATAAATTAGCTTTAGTTGTCTAATTTGTATGGTTTTTGCTTGTCACGGATTTTGTGACAATGGAACTAATGGGTTTTTGCTTGTCACGGATTTGTGACAATGAAACTAATGGGTTTTTTGCTTGTCATGGATTTTGTGACAGGGAACTAATGGGTTTTTGCTTGTCACGGATTTCGTGAAAATGGAACTAATGGGTTTTTGCTTGTCACGGATTTGTGACAATGAAACTAATGGGTTTTTTGCTTGTCATGGATTTTGTGACAGGGAACTAATGGGTTTTTTGCTTGTCACGGATTTTGTGACAATGAAACTAATGGGTTTTTGCTTGTCACGGATTTGTGACAATGAAACTAATGGGTTTTTTGCTTGTCATGGATTTTGTGACAGGGAACTAATGGGTTTTTTGCTTGTCATGGATTTTGTGACAGGGAACTAATGGGTTTTTGCTTGTCACGGATTTCGTGAAAATGGAACTAATGGGTTTTTGCTTGTCACGGATTTGTGACAATGAAACTAATGGGTTTTTTGCTTGTCATGGATTTTGTGACAGGGAACTAATGGGTTTTTTGCTTGTCATGGATTTTGTGACAGGGAACTAATGGGTTTTTTGCTTGTCACGGATTTTGTGACAGGGAACTAATGGGTTTTTGCTTGTCACGGATTTCGTGAAAATGGAACTAATGGGTTTTTGCTTGTCACGGATTTCGTGAAAATGGAACTAATGGGTTTTTGCTTGTCACGGATTTCGTGAAAATGGAACTAATGGGTTTTTTGCTTGTCACGGATTTCGTGAAAATGGAACTAATGGGTTTTTGCTTGTCACGGATTTGTGACAATGAAACTAATGGGTTTTTTGCTTGTCATGGATTTTGTGACAGGGAACTAATGGGTTTTTTGCTTGTCATGGATTTTGTGACAGGGAACTAATGGGTTTTTTGCTTGTCACGGATTTTGTGACAGGGAACTAATGGGTTTTTGCTTGTCACGGATTTCGTGAAAATGGAACTAATGGGTTTTTTGCTTGTCATGGATTTTGTGACAGGGAACTAATGGGTTTTTTGCTTGTCACGGATTTTGTGACAGGGAACTAATGGGTTTTTGCTTGTCACGGATTTTGTGACAATGGAACTAATAGGCAAAATTTTGATTTTTAGAACCCAATATATTTTTGTTCAAAAGCAATTTCTCCATTTTTACACTCTAGCTTCATGTACATGTATAATCTATTTATTCAAATGTATGGTTTTATGAAGCCATAAAACGTTTTATTTGATTCATTGATCTCCATAGGTTGGTTGAAATGAAGAATATGGCTGATCGTATCACTAGCATGAGAACATCACTGAAAGATGCACTAGCTAAACATGGTACATGATAAATAATAATATACTAATGGAGAGAGAGAGAAAATGGATAATAAAAGGCAATTCTTGATATTATATGCTGTTAAATTCTCTTTACTATACTGTAGGTTCAACTCTGGACTGGTCTCATGTCACTAAACAGATTGGTATGTTCTGCTTCAGTGGACTCTCAGCTGAAAAGGTATAAAAAATCTTGCTATTTTTTGACAAGCTTGTTCTCACCTTGTAATAGCACTTGAGGTGTTAACAAGTCAAACAGGAAATGATTTTTTAATTTCCCCACTTTTTAGCTTAATTGTTGCAAATTTAAATTACACTATCATAATAATATTAATAATTGTTTTTTCTCTCCCTCCAGGTTGATGCCCTACGTAATGAGTATGGTATATATATGACTAGGGATGGTAGGATATCAATGCCAGCACTATGCTCTTCTAATGTTGACTATGTTGCTAAAGCTATTCATGAAATAACTAAATAAATACAATAATTAATAATAATAATAAATGAACATTTATTATTAGCTACTTCAGCTGCCGACTAGTATATTTTAAAATAGTAATTGAAATTTGTTGTATAGTGCTTCTTGAAATTAACTGATACAAAAGGAAATGCCAGTGTAATGATAATGATGGCCTTTATTGAAGACTACTTGACTTCAGTAGCCAGCATAAACATAGCTCTATGAATATCATTATCATTATAATATTCATTAATAGATTACGTCATTTTGACGTAGTACATTTTTTCAAATTATTTGGATGCTGTTAACAATTTTGGTCAACTCCTAGCTGTTCCAAACTTTCAGTTGTGGACAGGCTAAACCCAAGTTCATCCTTTGTACTGAGTTGCTTTTGAGTTTGCTTTTTATTAAGTAAGTATAATTTCTAAATAGTATCTTTCCTTTAACATTTTTGGTATAACAGCAATAATTAATGGAAACACCAGATGAAACTTCAAGACTTGACTATTATGGGGCGTTTTCTCATGCAATTGATGTGAAAGATCTCAAACCTGGTGACCATATTTACTGTCATAGAAGTGCCTTATTTTTCTACAGTCATCATGGCATTTATGTTGGTGAGCCTGACTGTGAGGTGATTCACTTCAGTGGTATACCAGACTCCAAGATTGGGTCATCATCAGATTCGTCCTTGGATGATGAAACAAAGCTGTTGCTACAAGAGCTTCAAACATTACCAAAAGATTCCAAAAGGGCTAAAGAAATTGAGAAGAAATTAAAAATATGCATTAAATCAACTACTCTGGCTGAATTTCAGTATGGCTCTACCCTTCGCTTAGTCGCATATGGCTGCAGTGGAACCAAACAATTTTTTGCTATGGTTAGTAGTCACTGTGTGAAGGTAATGCCTTCTTCAGAAACAGTTAAGTTAGCCAAACATTTTCGTGATCATCCAGAAAAGTGGAATGAATATCACCTTAGATATAACAACTGTGAAACATTTGCGACATTCTGCAAAACAGGCCGGTTGGATTTAGCAGCACAGCTTTACCAACTTGTGAGAAACGTGTTTACTGAATGGAAGATGGGGCCAACATGTCAGACAGCTGAAGAAGTATTGACAAAATATCGTAAGTCAAAACTAATTTATAGCATGTTTCTTTCTAGTAGTGTTATTACCTTAAACTTTAAACATGGCCTAAAACAGCATTGCTAATTTTTCTGAATGGATTGCAAAAATTTTTTAATTATCTAGCTATGATGGCACTAGTACTAGTAGTGCTTTTTAATGGTATAGAAGTAAACTGAATAATGATTAGGCCACTTCATTGAGAAGTCAATATTCTGAAAAAATGGCCATGCCACACACACTAATTTGCTTACATTTTAATCCATTCCATAAATTTACTCTTACATCCTATCTTTTATCAAAATGGCTTAAGGATCATTGATCTACTCTCATCCTTATGGTTCCAATCCATTCCATTTGTCTTAATTTAGTGCATTATAAAGAAGTTTGCTTCATTCCCTCTCTTTGTCCTCATTATTGAAGACCAGGGGCGTATCCAGCAGGGGCTGAGGGGGGCTTGAGCACCCCCCTCATGGCTGGGCTCAGAAAAAAATTGATCAAATCCTGGACTTTTGCATCACTACCAAGCCTCTTAACAAAGTTATCTAGCCCCTTGATCACTATTTCAGCAGTTTCCAGTGCTTTCAGGAGCAATCAGAAGTTGTCAGAAGTACTAGATGCTTGAAATAATTTTGACCCCACCTGTAATTCACGAAAATGAAGGAAAACGCTGTTTTACCACTGCAAAAAGGGGTGTGGCCAAAATTGCGGCGCGCTTCGCGCACCCTCAGCACCCCTACCCTCATTTCTGGATACACCCCTGGAAGACATACTAGATTTAAATGGGAGGGAAAGAGAAAAGCGAGGGTGCACTCTACAGAAAACTAATACAAGCTAGTACTATCATTCACTCCTTTATGTTTTTATTGAGTATTTCATTCTCTTTTTCTTTTAGAGGTAGAAGATGATTCAGCAATCAGAGTTGGGGTAATGTCTCATGCAATTGATAAAGAGCATCTTAAACCTGGTGATCAGGTTTATTGCTATAGAAACATCTGCACTCATCATGGTATTTATATTGGTGAGCCTGATTGTGAGGTGATTCACTTTAGTGGTGCATCACGCATCAATTCAACTACTCTGGCTGAATTTCAGTATGGCTCTACACTTCGCTTAGTTGCATATGGCTGCAGTGGAACCAAACAATTCTTTGCAGCAGCCATGATTAGTACTCACTGCATAAAGGCAATGCCTCCTTCAGAAACAGTTAAGTTGGCAAAACATTTTCGTGATCATCCAGAGGAGTGGGAGGAATATCACCTCAAACATAACAACAGTGAAACGTTTGCTTGCTTCTGCAAAACAGGCCTGCAGGATATAGCAGCACAGTTTTATCAGTTTGAGAGAAGCGTGTTTACTGAAAAGGATAAAGAACCCTGTAAAACATTTGAAAAAGCGTTGGAAAAATATCGTGAGAAACCTTGATGCAGCTACAAAACTCAATGCACTGCTGTGTGAACATTAGTATACATTGGAGCATTGTTTTAGAGAGCTGCTTAATGAACTTAAAAAGAAACAATAAAGTGAGAAAGCAGGTCTCATGCAAAATATTGATGTAGTGAGAGTTGGATATGTATCTCATGCAATTGATGAGAAGAATCTGAAGCCTAAGGATCAGTTATTTAGTGAGTAAATAGTATAATTTTGTGACAATAGAACTATAAATAATAGGCTTTTGCTTGTCACAAATTTTTGTACCAATGGAACAAATGGGTTTTATTTAAAATTTTGATGTTTAGAACCCAATTTTTATTTAAAAGCAATTTCTCAATTTTTACTCTCTACCTAATGTGCGGTTTTATGCAGCCATTTGTGTACAATAGTCTAATGTATTTGATTTCTTGAATCTCCATAGGTTGGTTGAAATGAAGGGTATGGCTGACCGTATCACTAGCATGAGAACATCACTGAAAGAAGCACTAGCTAAACATAGTACATGATAAATAATAATATGCTTATGGAGAGAGAGAGGGAGAGAAGATGGATAATAAAAAGCAATTCTTGATATTATATGCTGTTAAATTCTCTTTACTATACTGTAGGTTCAACTCTGGACTGGTCACATGTCACTAAACAGATTGGTATGTTCTGCTTCAGTGGACTCTCAGCTGAAAAGGTATAAAAAATCTTGCTATTCTTTACAAGTTTGTTCTCACCTTGTAAGAGCACTTGAGGTGTTAACAAGTCAAACAGGAAATGATTTTTTAATTTCCCCATTTTTCTTAGCTCAATAATTGTTGAAAATTTAAATTACACAATCATAATAATTGTTTTTTGAAATTAATTGATACAAAAGGAAATGCAAGTGTACATTCCTGCATGCCTGTCTTAAGTCAGCTGTTGCGAGTACAATGTACTTAACTACTTATTTGTAGGCTGTTAACATTTGGCCCACTCTTAGCTGTTCCAGTTTGTGCACAGACTAAACCCAAGTTCATCCTTTGTACTGAGTTGCTTTTGAGATTGCTTTCAGTTTATTAAGTAAGTATAATTTCTAAATAGTCTGACTATAACTTGTGGCTTTAAAATTTTTGGTATAGATTATAATCAATGGCAGCACTAGTGCCACTGCCACCAGATGACAGTTCAAGACTTGACTATTATGGGGCATTTTCTCATGCAATTGATGTGAAAGATCTCAAACCTGGTGACCATATTTACTGTCATAAAAGTCCATTCTTCTTCTACAGTCATCATGGTATTTATATTGGTGAGCCTGACTGTGAGGTGATTCACTTTAGTGGTACATCAGACTCCAAGCTTGGGTCACAGTCATCTTCAGATTCGTCCTTGGATGATGAAACAAGGCAGTTGCTACAAGAGCTTCAAACATTACCAAAAGATTCCGAAAGAGCTAAAGAAATTGAGAAGAAATTAAAAATATGCATCAAATCAACTACTCTGGCTGAATTTCTGAATGGCTCTACACTTCGCTTAGTCGCATATGGCTGCAGTGGATTCAAGCATTCTGTTTCATTGGTTAGTAGTCACTCTGTCAAGGCAATGCCTCCTTCAGAAACAGTTAAGTTGGCCAAACATTTCCATGATCATTCAGAAGAGTGGAATGAGTATCACCTCTCGTATAACAATTGCGAAACATTTGCAACATTCTGCAAAACAGGCCGGTTAGATTTAGCAGCACAGCTTTACCAAATTGTGAGAAATGTAGCTTTTGAACGAAATATAGGGCCAACATGTCAGACAGCTGAAGAAGCCTTGATAAAATATCGTAAGCAATAGTTAAAAAACTGATCTGATTCACAAAATTAATTTTATAGTAATTTTTCTAGTAATGTTAGTATTACCTTAACAACATTTTGAGAAATGTTGCTATGCTATTAAAGCATCCCACACATACTATTTAGTTAGTCATTTTGTCCATTAAATCCCTTGCATCCTATCTTTAATCAATATGGCATTACAGCATATCCCACACACACACTAATTTACTTAGTCATTTTGGTCCATTAAACCCATTCCATAAATTTACTCTTATATCCTATCATTAATCAATATGGCTGATGGATCGTTGATCTACTCTCATCTTTGTGGTTCCAATTCATTCTGTTTGCCTTCCAAAAATTTAATGCATTATAGAGAAGCTTACCCCATTCCCAGTCTTTGTCTTCATTACTGAAGACATACTAGATTTAAATGGAAGGAGGGAAAGAGAGGGAGAGGGTGGTACTATCATTCACATAGTCCTATTCATGACTTGCATTTTTTTGAGTGATTTTTGATTCATTCTCTTTTTTCTTTTAGAGGTGGAAGATGATTCAGCAATCAGAGTTGGAGTAACATCTCATGCAATTGATAAAGAGCGTCTTAAGCCTGGTGATCAGATTTATTGTTATAGAAACATCTGCACTCACCATGGTATTTATATTGGTGAGCCTGATTGTGAGGTGATTCACTTTAGTGGTGCATCACGCATCAATTCAACTACTCTGGCTGAATTTCAGTATGGCTCTACACTTCGCTTAGTTGCATATGGTTACAGTGGAATCAAGCATCTATTTGCCATTGTTAGTAGTCACTACATAAAGGCAATGCCTCCTTCAGAAACAGTTAAGTTAGCAAAACATTTTCGCGATCATGCAGAAGAGTGGGGGGAATATCACCTCAAGCATAACAACAGCGAAAGGTTTGCTTGCTTCTGCAAAACAGGCCTGTTGGATATAGCAGCACAGTTTCATCAGTTTGAGAGAAGCGTGTTTACTGAAAGGCGTAAAGAACCATGTAAAACATCTGAAGAAGCACTGGAAAAATATCGTGAGAGGAATTGAACCTTGATGCTGCTACAAAACTCAATGCACTGCTGTGTGAACATTAGTACTTTAGTGTGTGATCTTTAGTAGCTATATTTAGTCATTTTTTAGTTTGCCATAAAATTATTTTCAAAAACAATCATGATAAATAATTAGTCTTGCCAGACCCCTTTGCGACCTGCATAATGATGCAAACACATGTACAATAGAAAGCTTGATAATGGCTATCTCCCTATTGTTAGTAAAAAACTACACAAGATATTAATATTCAATTATAACATCAATACTTGGTCACTCCTACGTATATCAGCAATAGCTCATCGCTAACTGCACCCTATAGATAATCTTAAGTATATATATATAAGTTACCATTTGATTTTTAATTCATTTAGCATCTTTCTCAGCTAATAGTAGCTATAAATGCAGAGGAAGATAACTCAGTTAGCAGAGTTGGGTATTGTAGTGTCCCAGAATCATATAACTATAGGACCCTGAATTTTAATTAAATATAATGTGTTGTATTGTATGCCTAGACTTAATCATTGGTTGCATGTCTTGTCTGTAGTAGGTCCTTTCTTAATAATTTGTGTTAATGTGAAAGTATTTCTTAATTTGTGTTGTAGTATATAAATGTTTGATTCTGTGGTTATTTTTTTGGATCTTTGATTGTGAATAATCGTATCTACAAGAGTAACATACTACAGGTATATACTTCATACAATTGATGAGAATGAGCTCAAGCCTGCATGGTGATTATATCTATTGTGATAGGATAGGCTACACTCATGAATTATGATTATCATCTTAATCAGTACACATCATCATCATCATCAACATTGTTACTAGTTTGTTTATCATGCAGTTCTTGTGGTACAACAAATTAAATTTTATTTGCAAAATTTTAATCTTATGCACAGTACAAATAATGATAATATGTCTTATGAAAATAATTAATAATATAACTTGTTTGAAATATGATGTGTGTACTTCCTGCCAAGTATATTTTAGGTTTCCTTGATCGAATCCAGTTTTTCTTTCAGACTATAAAGAGATGCATAATCTTTAGAATAAATTTTACCAGAAAACTGATCAACAACATCCTTCCATGTTTCTTTACCCTTTCCAGCAAAATAATAGTACATGGAAATAGAAAAATCAAGACTTAAATGACCTTCAACCTCAAAAAAGTGCCCCATTTTTTGAATGACATTACAAACGGTAAACCTGTCACTTTTCCATGTTTCACCAGCAACAACTGGAATGAAAGACTTCTTTTCACCTGTATTGAGCTCTAAATTTGTAATGAACTTTGTATGATATGCATCAGCCAGGCCATGGTAGATATCATAATAGTAATCACCAAAACTAAAACATATTTTTAATTTCATATCTTCGGTAGCTGTAGCAATATGCATAACCATGTACTGATATGTTTTAGTAGCTCCATTTTTGAAAGTTACTTTTATATCACCATGAATACCAGCTCCAGTATGAACCAAGCCATTCTTCAGTAGAACTCCAACCCACACTACTTTAAAAGAATGAGAAATTAAAGATACACATTTATTATTAAATTTCATTGCCATTTCTCCATCTGATTCAATCTGGCCTATTTCCACATAATCAGTGAAATACATTGGTTCCATCTTGGTGACTACAGCAGATAAAAGATAATCTCATACAAAGTGGTCGCATCAGTGGGTGTAAACATAGACACAAGTATTACGAGGCTAGTTGGCTGCTATTCTGTATGTAGTATTATCTTTCTACATCAAAACAAGTCAAGCCAAAACAGCCAGTTTTGACATAAATAATAAAGTAATGGCGATAACAAATGACCAATCAAATTTCAGTGCACTATCACTGAGCCCTACTGCTATGTATACTATTCATGCTATTCATATGCATATTTCTATTCATAGTATGAATAGCATGAATACTATTCATGCTCTATGTATTCATGCTTTGAATGCATGTATTTATACTATTCATGCAGTCAAGTAGCTGTCACTCCATTTCAGTCGCTATCTTCTACTAGTACTACTAATAAAATTATAACAATGGCAATGGCAGATGACTCATCAAGCAGAGCTGGATTTATATCTCACTCAGTAGATAAAAACGACCTTAGACCTGGTGATCATATCTATTGTCACAGAATAGGCTACACTCATCACGGTATCTACATTGATGAGCCTGGTTGTGAAGTGATTCATTTTAGTGGTGATGACAAAGGATCACTTGAAAAGAAGTGGAACCAACAAAGTGGTGAATTGTCAAAACGAGTGGCAAGATTGTCATCTGAGAAGGACCAATTGCCGGAAGATTCAGCAAGGGCTAAAGAAATCAAACAAGAATTAGATGAAATTTATGAAGATGATCGAATAGTTTGTATAAAGTCAACTACTCTGGCTAATTTTCTCAATGGTGCTACACTTCGCTTAGTGTCATATGATTGCAGTTTTATTAAAAAAATTTTTGTCATTGTTCGTTCTTCCTGTCACACAAAGAAGGCAATGCCTCCTTCAGAAACAATAAAGTTGGCCAAACATTTTCTCTATCATCCACAAGAATGGGGAAACTATGAACTTACAAGTAACAACTGTGAAAATTTTGCTTGCTTCTGCAAAACTGGTGATATGAATATAGCAACTCAACTTCAATATCACAGCAATGCATTTTCTGAAACAGTAAGTGAATTTTTATTTCAATCTTGCCAAACCGCTGAAGATGCACTGCGTAACTATCGTCAAATAAAAGCAAACAAAAACTAAATGCTATGATATAAAGGATCAGTGCTTTTACATTGATCCAATAAGAATGCTGATATTGTTTGTATTGTTAATTAATGTTGTTATGGTTATTTGGTGTTACTAATGCAATTGAAATTAATTGTATTATTAATTGTTGTATTACTAATTAACAGTCATCAATGTACTTTAATATGGTGTGTTTTCGTTATTTTTTAGCAGTATCCATAGAATTACTTTTGTGAAACAGTTTTTTTTTGAAATCAAATAATAATAATCATAGCTTACTATTACAGAAGTGTGTGGGCATATTTGTTTACTTCATTTGCGTGTACAAACTGAAAAATGAACTTAATGTAGCACCACGTGGGCAGGAAATGGTGTGGGCTAATTAATTAGTATGATTGTCGTCACAAATATTATCATAGTCATCATCATCACAGTCATTAGTTTGTCTATCAAACAGTTCTTGTGGTACGATGATAGTATCTCCCCATTCCTTCTTTTTTGTTGATGCAAGTCACACAATGAAGGCAATGCCTCCTTCAGAAACGGTTAAGTTGGCCAAACATTTTCTTAATCACCCAGAAGAGTGGGGGAACTATCACCTTAAGGATAACAACTGTGAAACGTTTGCTACATTCTGTAAAACTTGTCAAATGGATCTAGCAGTACAACTAAATTATTTGCGATTGATTTCTGAAGTGAATCCAGTGGCACCATATCCAACATCTGAAGGAGCATTGAGAAAATATCGTAAGCTATATACCAAATCCTGATACAGAACTCATTCATATTCGTGTGAACACTGCTATAATGTGTCAACTTTGCCATTAGTTATAGTGTGTGAACTTTTTTAATTTTCTATTTCTTCAAAAAGTGTAAATATACTTAAGGCCTTTGGCCTGGCTTTCATTTAAAATATTTTCAAAAAGAAACAGGGAATTATCTTTATGCAAGACATTTAAAGAAGCATTGCGAAATTATCATGAACAGTGTATTAAGAACTAAATTATTCTATTTTAATGCCATAAGTTATATTTAATGGTAAATAGTATAGAATAGCACTGCTTGAATATATAATAGCTATATCTCAACCATGCAAATCTTCAAGAATGCTCTCATAGTTTAATAATATTTTAATTTCATATAATATTAAGATTATAGGGTATTCCCAAGTGTACACAGCAAGCTTGATAGCCACCTGTTGTTTGTGGGTGTATCAAAACCATAGCTAGCAGAGGTAGTTTATACACCTATACACTGTAGTACAAACCAGATAAACTGGATTTTGTGTTTGCAGTGCCTACTGTCTATGCTTGATTAGAAGCCTCAGCTCCACCTTGGTTTCTAATCAACTAGCATCCTAGCAGATCATATCAATTACAATTATCATCAATACACATCATCATCATCATCATCATCATCATCATCATTAATGATATCATTATTAGTTTGTCTATCATACAGTTCTTGTGGTACGATGACAGTATCTCCCCATTCTTTCTTACGAGTAGTCCTCAATAATTCTCTAGTAATAGTAGAAGAATATATAAAAGTGTTTCCAAAAACAATATAATAATTATACCTTTGCTTTGCTTTACTGAAGATAAGTGTAACAGCTTTACCTATACATGTATAAATTGTATAAATATGTACATGTATCTTTATCATTAAAACAGCAATAACTATATCACTTCTGTCCATCATACAAAATAGATTTTAGACAAAATTGCCACCCACTTCAAGGTGAAAATTACTAAATGTTAAGTGAAACTTATTGCCCACTTAGAAGTGGTTTTGATTCCTCCCTCTCCCTCCTCTCACCATTAGGACAGCAAAGTTCACATATTGTGTGTTTAGTTCTTTTCTTAGTCGGCAATAAAAGACGACAAGGAATATCATCAATGAATTGATGAGGTCTCTCTCCTTTCTTTAATATTAAATAAGAGAAGTTCTCAATGTAAAAACCTTTTGAACGACACCTAGTATACTAAAGAGAGAGAGGGGGAGAGATGAAAAATATTATATAAAATAAATTTAAAATAATTAACTATTATTGATTTACTTCTGTGAAAGGTATGGCCACTCTCTGAGCAAATTTACAAATTTTATAATAATCAGTAGCAGCTGCCTTAGGACACTGTAGATCATGTGGGCACTACAATGTATGATAGATATACTAATAATATACTGAAATATACTGATAATAATATTGCACAGGACATCGAGTTTGGTAAAAATTGGAGGTGATTTTGGAGCCATTTTTCAGAAAAACCATGGGCTATTAGTAACGCGGTAGCGTTACTAAGTAGGATTCACCCCCAAACAAAATGGCTGCCACGACTTTTGCAGCCTTGCTATACCGGGAAAACGAGCTCCTATGCTTACCAGACTTTATAGAGGACCTTATCTTGACCAGAGGACTCTATTGGTACCCATAGCGTGGCTCTAGGCCCTGTCTAAGAGAAAAGCCAAAAATCGGCGAACCGGCCGTTT